CCCCAGCACAGCCCGGCCCATCCCCCCTGCCCCCACCCCTGCCCAGAAGAGCCCTGTGCAGTAGCACCAGTGCATGCATTTTAGGTGATGCTACTGTGCAGTAGATTAATTCCTGTGCACTAAGCTAGTCTACCGCAAAGTGTCTCCTGTAGATGCACCACAGATACCTAGCACTGTTGAAAACCAAGCGCTATTTGTTTAAATGCCTAATTAGGGATTTTTGAGTAGATCTGATATCTTTTATTAGACCAACTGAGTAGTTGGGAAAAAGTTCTTAGCAAGCTTTTGGGCACAGTCACCCGTCTTCCGGCATAGGTAGTCTCTGCTGTTCTTAGACTCCAAGGAAAGAGAGAAGCTAAAAGTGTGACAGGGTGTCAGTGAGAATGTAAATAGGTGTAGACATTAGGAAAACAAAAGGTAAAGCAGGGGAGGGGGAAAACGGGGGGAAAAGCCAAAGCTGAGTAAAGGAGACTCTACAGTGGTGGAATTCAAGGTAGAAAAGAGGCTGTTTGTGAAAAAGGAAATGGATGGAAATTAGGAGACAGAGGGCAGAAAAGGAGGGGGGAGAGGAAAAAACTGTAAAACGTCAGGGCTGACAGGTACCTGATGAATCAGATGCCAGGCAGGTTGTAATGTGTCATAAATCTAACATCTATATCGAGTCCATGATTTTTTGTATTCGGTAGATTTATGAAGTGAAGTTCGTAGGCTCATCTACGAAGGGTGTTTTGTAAGTTCCCTTTGAGGATTGGAACTGAGAGATTGGAGTGATTGTCTTGTGAGAAATGTGCCCCCACAGGTAGTTGGATATTCTTGTCTTTGATCAATTTTCGGTGCGCGTTCATTCTGGTGTGCAGTTGTTGATTGGTCTTTCCAGCATATTTTCCATCAGGGCATTTGGTGCACTAGATGAGATATATAATGTTTCTGGAGGTGCAGGTGTAAGATCCAGGAATGGTGATGGAGTTGTGGGGTGTAGTTATTGTAGGGGTTATGGAGATGTGTGGGCAGCTTTTGCATTTCTTCTCCTGGCATGGTCTGGATCCATTGGATGTGGCTTGGGTTATAGCAAGCTTCTGGTGATGAGGTTAACAAGGTTCGGTGCTTGATTAAAGGCTAGGATGAGTGGTTCTGGAAAGATATCTTTAAGAATTGGGTTGTCTTCTAGTATGGGTTGCCAACAGGTTCTAGGAAAGGGTATTATGTCATAACTAGTGGTGTGCAATTTATGGGGATTTTCTTTTTGAACTGCAGCCACTGTATCCAGGTGGCTCTTTTAGAAGTGTGATCTGTCTCTCTGGAGGAATGTCCTTGTTGAGTGAAGTGACGATCACAGGTATTCTCCTTGCTGCAAATTCGGTGGTATTGGAGAGCTTGGCTGTAAATTACAGCTTTCTTGGTGTGTTCAGGGTGATTGCTGGTTCTCTGTAGATATGTACATAGCTACAACCAAAAACCCAGTAATTATGGATTTAGAGGCCAGCTTTAGGCCTTTAAATTGGAAATCTTTGGCCATTTTTAATCTATAGTATCTGTAGACACAGATTTGATGTCATTGGTGGCTGCCCACTGTGTCATACGTAGCTATTTTACTTTTTCAGTGGGATGGCAAGTAACACAGAGGTAATGGAGAGGTCCAGCAGTAGGTGGGCTACAGGAGGACAGTATACATGTGCCTCCTTGCCACTCAGTCATTTTCCAGGCTTCTACAATAAGTCAGAAATGTAAAGGAAAAGTCCTATTAATAGATCATTCTTCCCATCTCTCTCTCAAGCAAGGTTGTTTCAGATCATCCATGTTCTAGAGCTCTGTTCCATCTTCTTCTAAAAAGTCCAAAATTACTAGGCTTTAAGTGCTTCCCTAGGGAGACCAGTTGACACAGTGCATTTTACTACCAGGGAGATTTTCCTTATATTAATCTTAAATTTCCTTTCCTTCATTTTAGTCATTCATTCTAGCCATGTATGGCTCTAAATAATTCTTTCCTCCTTTGTGTATACAAACTGTCAAATATTCACAGCCTATGATCATTGCTTCCTGTTTAGTTAGTATCCAGTTATTTTGATCTTTCTTTATACACTGGTTTTTCCAGCAGGTTGATCATTTTTGTTTTTCTGCTAGAGATCCTCCAGAATGTAAATATTTTTCTTGCAATGTGTAGATTAAAATATAATGCCATTAACACACAGACACATGTGAATCCAGATGTTTATATATGCAAAAGGAGCAACTAAGGCTCCTGAGATATTTCTTAGTGACATAATTCTTTTCCAGATAAGATAAAATGTACAGATAGGGACAAATATTTTGAAATTTGTTTAGAAAAACAAAGGTGGGGGGAGGAGGACGCTGCACAGTAGCGAGCCCTAGGCAGTGATGTTGGGCACTTTCCTTGTAAAAATTATTTCCCCTTGAAGTAGGCAAAAGGATTAGCAGCTGGGTTCCTTGAGGGATTTCTTCCAGGAATCTCACTGGATGTTTTAGCCACAGGTGGCACTGCTTCGGCATTAATCTAGTTGTTTGTACTGCCAAAAGATCATCAGTTCATCTACAGGTATTTGGGGTACAATATTCAACAGGTCTCCATTTTGTGCCCACAGAAAGCTTGCAAGAATGTCAGCTTACATACATAAAATCCAAACCTGTATTTGTACATGTCCATTTTTAATCACATGCTTTATTTTTAAGTTCATCTATATGCGCAGATGAAAAGACAAGCAAAAACTGGGTTAAAGCATTTAGTGGTTTTTCACTTTCCTACACTAACACTTCTCCCCCTACCTCTCCTCACTGTCTGTTTCAGCTGATAAAGAAACAGCTTCTGAGAGCAAGGACAGCGTCAACAGCGCGAGCTCCATCGGCTTCACCTCAGTCTATTCAACTGCCTTCGGTTGTTTTGGGTAAAACAACAATAAGCTATAGACTAATTTTGTGTACTGCTTACTCTGTGAGACGAGAACTGTTGTACTTTTTAAGGAATTATGCGAAAGACTAAGGCTTCTGAAATACACTCTGAATAGGAGTGTATTTCATCCAAAATAAACTCCTGCAATGGAACAATTTCTCCATTATGGTAGGAAAGAATAGCTCAAGAACATCTGTTTTCTGGAGAAAGCATAGGTTCAAGGTTCACTCTCTTCAAGTGAATGCTTCTAGGGGCTGGACCATGTGACCCTTGAGATTCCTTCCAGTCCTATGATTCTGTGAATGTCTTTGAGTCAAATCATGGGCGCTGTTATACAGCCCAGATAGGAGGACTGTGTTGCAAGCAGTTACATGGGATGGAATAGTCTGTATCCCAGTTCAGGATACAGGAGTAGAGTCTAGAACACCTGCATATTTCTCATATAACTTCTAGAGGAGATTCAAAACTGCACAGTCGACTCAGGAACACTGACTGCAGTATTAGGTTAATGAGTCTGTATAATCATAGATCTACTGTCTTGTCCATCTGTGAGCTTGTTTACACGGCCTCTGTGCCATGCCTGGGAATAACTCCAAGCAGCCCATCCTGCCCACTCACTCCAACTCCCAGAAATCTCTTTAAAACATTCTTAGGGTGTGCTTGCTGCCTTATTTCTGCTATTCATGCACGTGGAGTAGAACTAGCATGTGGGCAGAGATTATTTCCTTGATGACATGACTGAGTTTCCTGGACCAACAATGTAAACATGCCTGTAGTGTCTAATGCAGTTTACAGGCCATTGCCCAAGAGATCAAATGCAAAGTTGAATGTAGGCTGTGACCACAGGAATTTCATGAGTTTAGTGTTCAATGTGCAGAATCAGAGGTATATTTTCAAAATATTACTGTGTAGGTCACCACTTGCATATCCAAAACATGGCAAAGGTAAGGAGAACAGAGTGTAAAGTTCCAGAGTTTCCTCAGTTTAGATTGCAAGCTTAATTTTCCAGTAAAATTGCCCTTTAGTTTGATTTTTTTTTTATGGCAATGCTTTATATGCTATTACTTTGTATTTTCTTTTCTTTTTTTAATATATAGATAATATAAATAAGTCAACCCCACCTACACCTTTAAGCAGTAAGCCACCTTTTTACACAAGTGTTGAGCGTGCGGAAAGAGAAAAGGTATGTGTTTGTGTCAATTGTAATTAACATAGTCTGTACAAAGTCTGTTTATGTCAAAATTTCCGCTAGTTTAACTGTTTTGTGTGGTGAAATGAGCTTCTTTCCTACTAAAGCAGTAAAAGGACTTCAGAAAAAGAAACTCCTGCTAAAATTAGAGATAACATGAAAATTAATCAGTTGAGTACAAGCTATAAAAGCTTTTGTAGATGGAAAGGCTGTATTTCTTATCTCTTGGCTGATGCTGGATGGGTCTCCATAGAACTCTTGCAAGAGTTTCTCAGTGTACCAGAGTGTCCTTGGAGGGACATTCCCATGTAAGTCTCATTCGTCTACTCTGGCTAGTACACACCAAACCCAGAAGTGCACTGGTGAAGCTGCTCCAAGGACATCCTCAGTGACTGCTCTTAATATGCTGGAGCCTAAAGTCATGAGGGCGAGCCTGAAAGTGACACACTGTCCCTGCTGGGATACTGCTGAGAATGCAGTGGAGATGTACCCTCAAAGAGCATCCTTTCAAATGAAGGATGCCCCAGATATAGAATGTCCTTTAAGCACATTTACAGATTCTATAATATTAAAAACAGGAAATGATGTTTGGTGTAATCACTAATGAGTAAATCATAGAAATTGGAGTAAAGGGACTTGAGTTTCAGTCCAGTCTTTGCCATCAATTTCCTGTGTTACCTGGAATAAATCACTTAATGACACTGTGCTTCAGTCTTTCCATCTGCTACACAGATTTAACAGTATTTGTTTACCGTTTGTTTGGCCTGATGTAATAATGCTCACCATGTGATCTGAAGTGTGATGATGGAGGAGTCTCTGGAAATTCTAAGAATTGTGCTTAAGTATCTTGTTGATTCAGAGTGAGGGTGATGCCTTTTATAGGTGATATTCTGCACGAGATGGAAGCATTGTAACTTGCAATGGCAGCTGGTGCTTTTTTGTTGCTTTTCAGCAAGGCTTTATAATGCTTATTATTTTAATGACTTTTATCCTGTGTATTCCACATGTAAATTCATATGGCTTCTTAATTTGTATATATAATACATACATAGTGTGTATGACTGTTCATAGGCCTGCTGTTCTTTGGACTCTCAACAGAATGGCTTATTTCACCTGCCTCTATTTACAAACATGACTGTGTACCAACCAAGGGCCAGATTCTGTTACCCTGACACAGATGCAGCATCTTGCTGCCCTTGTATTGTAATCCCAGTAAGACGAATGGATTACTTACACCTGACATCCAGTCTGACAAAGACTTAGGCATGTGTTTAACTTTGCCTCTGTAAGTAATTCTGCTGATATTTATAGAGTAACACATAAGAGCAAAGTTAAACTTGCACATAAGTCTTTCAAAAATCTGGGCACTAAGGTAGTAAATGAGTTCAATTGACTCCTTGTTAGTATTCAGGTAATTCCATTGAGGTACAGTGTTATATAAAAGACAGGTTTGCTCCTAGAGAACTTACAGTTTGATAGACACACTTATCTCAAAATCTGTAAATGCAGGCAGAAGTACTTGAAAAGATTGTCAAAGTACATAAAAAGCAGACATTTGCATCAAGACTCAAACGTCGACAGTCTAGAAGAGCGCTGAACTTGGAAATTGAAGAACATATTCATATTCCAGAGGAAAATGAGTACACTTGTTCTGATCCCAGCCGGGCTTTTACTTTTGCAAGAAGTAAGTATATTCTTTTAGCTTTGCCTGTGGTGTTACTCATCTTGGTACAGTTTTCCATAAGACTGCACATCAATCATTCATCTAAAAATTATTGTTTAGGGCCAAATCCTATAATTGTACCTTTCATTTATTTAGATTCTATTGATTTCAATGGGGATCTGTTACAGTTACAGCAGCTCACCCACAGAGATTTTGCTAAAGGACTCTTTCCTTTACAAATTCTGAACAAGGATTTAAGCATACATTGTCATTCTGAAGAGAGGGGGAATATTTGTAATAAACTATAACTTCCTCTTTCCCCATCTCACTGCTACTACAATGTTCTATGACTAAAGATTAACCTGGTACAAAACTTTTTTCCATTATGTGGAAGGCTCTCTCCAACAGTAGAGTGGCAGGGATGTGAATTCTTTTAAATGAATTCTATTAAGAGTTAATATAAAGTAATTTTTGTTTAATAAACTAAACAATGTGTTAAATACATTATAAATATATGAAAACAATTGTCTTTTATTGTAGCTTATTCTGTAGAAATTTGAGGAATATGTTAACATCATCAGGCTAATTTGAACACAATTTTTTTTTATAGCTTGCCATACTAACAAACAATCTGTAAGAAATTTTATCAATGAAAGGAAGGAAATATTTCGACTGCAGGTACCATAAAATATTTTTCTTCTTCCTATAGTTAATGGAACACCTAAAATTAAATAAAAATAACATCTAATTATATTAGAATAAGTTTTTTTATCTGTATGTCTGTATATTAAAAATGGTAAGACTGATTCAGAAGAGAAATCCCACTGTTCTCAAATTGGGAAGCCAGTATGCACAGTAAAAGTTAATCAGACAAACTATTTAAATCAGAAGAACTACTTGGATGAATAAGTATCTGCAGGACTTGACCCTGAATCTGGTAGGAAGTTGAGCAAGGTTCATAGTCACTGGGTGCGCTTTACTGAAGAGTGGACTAATTAGGTGCATAAAGTGTCATTATCTACACTGTGCACTGGTATTAGGGCACAGTAAATTAACTCCTCCGTAAGATAATACTGTCTGGGACGGTACTGTTTTACAGTGTAATATTTAAGTGCAATGAAATGCACATGTAGATGGTGACAGGGCTGGCAACACTGCACTGCAGGTTCTGCATAGGGTTACCATACGTTTGGGTTTTCCCGGACATGTCTCTTTTTTGGCCCCCTGCACTGTGACCAGGTTGGTTTTTAAAATACAAGCAAAATATCTAAGTTTCTTGCTGTTCCTCTGTCCTCCCAGGCCAGCTGCTTGGGGCTGGGAGCTGCAGGCAAGGTGATTGGCTGTTGGGGGAGGGGGAGTCATGTGATACTGACAGTAAATCACTTTGCGGGAGAGCAGAGGAACAGCAAAAATTGGCCAGGAGGAGGCGGGGAAGAATGGAGAATGAGAAAGCAATGTGGGAGCTGCTTGGCTTGGGCAGGGGGCTGCAGGTGGGAAGTGTGGGGCAGGGGGCTGTGGTCAGGGGTGAGGGGCATCACTAGGTAGGGGGGGGGACCGTGGGTGGAGAGTGAGGGGCACCAACAGGAGTTGGGAGAGGGAAGGGGCTGTAGATTGGGGGGTGAGAGGCACTGCCTAAGCTGCTGGGGGGCTGCAGGTTGAGTGAGGGGCACTGGGGGGCAGGGGCTATGGGTAGGGAGTGAGCGGCACTGGCAGGAGTGAGGGGCATGGGGGATGGGATGGGTGACTGGGTTGAGTGTGCAGGGCCCTGACAGTGCTAGGGGACTGCAGGTTGGGAGTGAGGGGCACTGGCAAGAGGTGTGGGGCAGGGTACTGCTGTTTGGGAGTGAGGGGCACTGGCAGGGCTGGGGTCAGTGGGTCTGGAGTGAGAAGCAGCAGCACAGCGGGGATGGGGGGGCATGGTTTGTCAGTGAGGGGCAACAGAATGGGCAGGGGCAGGGCATCGGCATGTCACTACCCCCCCACCATCATATTCCTCCCCAAAGCCTGCCCCTCCCATGGCAGGTGTCCTCTTTTTTGGACCTGCAAATATGGTAACCCTAGTTCTGCATCCTTGGTCCCCAGCCAGTCCCTCTGCTGCCCAACTACAAGGGTAGTATAAACTTTTCCACACCTCTAAATTTATATTCAAACCTCCTATTGGCTTTGAGAGAGAAGTTCAAGCACAGCAGTATTCTGTCTCTGCCTTCTGTTGTGGACACCAGTGTAGCAATGTTTTTCAAGCTCTGAGCTGACGAAGGACTTCCCTTACATTGGGGATAATCCCTGGAGGAAGGTCTGCCTCCTAAAATGCTTAACTCTGTTGCAAAAACAACAGAATGACACTTGTGAACTGGAGCAGTGCTAACAGTGTGGGTGAAAAGCAGAAGCATGATTATTGATTCTGCATTTCCTGGCATTGTGTTTAAATATGTAACCTCAGCATTGAAATAACATTTGGTCCATTAACTCCTACTGTATGGTAATAGGATGGTTACTTCTGTCCCTCCCAGTACATGTATTGCTCAGTTGCTTTTGCTTGCTGAAATGATTAAAGTAACAGAGAATACATAAGGACAGCATTTTAATGTAATGTTTTATCCCTGTTTTGTTTCCATAGTATGCAATAACAGCAAAACAAGAAGCTATAGAGGAGCTGGAAAGAACAGCAGTCCAGAAGGAAAAAGAGTTCAGGTTTGCTGAAGAAAAGCTGAAAGAAGATACCGTTGCATTCGAGGAATTCCTGAAAGCAAATGATGGAAGTTCTGCAAATGCAGCTAAAATGTTAGACTCTGTCACAGTTAATGTTTGTTTTGACTTTGGATCCACAAAAAAATGCACATAGAGTGCTAAAATATTTCTATTTTACTTATAGTGTAGCCCAAGAAAAGAAATCAAAAGAGCAAGCAGCAGGAGAGCTCAAATCAGCTGTTAATGAACTCCGTGCAGTTCAAAGGTGAGGATGTTATGTTACTAACTTACCCTTGCTTTTCTGATCACAGTGGTAATTAGGTCTAAAGAACTGTCTTGGGGAAGAAATATTGTTGCCTTGTGGCCCCCTGTGTGGTTTTCTCCATTTGTTGTATATTGCCTTTTCCTGGGATTGGAAGCACCCCCTGTCACTTTGTTCTGTGGTTGTGCGGTCCCTACCGCAACAGGGTCTTAATGACTAATACTCCTGGACTTCGTGGTAAAACAGTTAATAGTACTTAGATCTTCAAGCCAGCCAGCCTGTATATTGACTGTAAGCAGTACTAGGATTTGAACTGGTCAGGTCTGTGAGTGGTGAGGGTGTTCTGTTATCCTAGTACATCAGATACTGCCAGTAATTTGCTAAGGATATATTCCCTGTTTCGGGTTTTTATTTAATATTTTATACGAATTGCTTATTTCTGTGTTCTTGAAGCTATAGGGGTAATATTAGAAGGTCTGTCAGGCCAGGAGTCAAGCAAGCTCTTGAGAGTTGGGGAAAATGTTTCAAAGCTTTTGGAGAAAAACTGTTAAATTAATAGAGAAAAAGTCTGTCTTACCCTACACTCAGTCAGTTACTGGTTTTAGTGGAAAAAATTATGAACCAAAAGGTGAAAATGTTTGCACTATTCTGTTAAAGCATGTCTGGGGCAAAAGTCATTCAGAAGAATTAAGACCTGGTGTGGTGGAGCACCTTTGGGGGTGCTCGCCACTTGAGGGCTCTCACAGGATCTGAGGGGAGCCTGCTTTGGAGGAGCAGCAGGGGAAACCTCCCCCAGGAATCATTTTAAGGGGGGCGATGTGTGGCAGGGCACTGTTGGTGCCTGCCACTTTAAGAGCGGAGCAGCAGGTGCTTGATTGTGGCAGCCATTTTAGCTCGCTGGCTGCCCATATAAATGGGGCAGTTCACTGCTGGCAGGCCAGGCAGCAACATTGTCTGCCTGCAAGGCTTCATGTATCATCCTGGAGGTAAGGGCAGGAGCTATAGGGGATGGTTTGGAGGCTCCTGGTCCTAGGCATGACCTAAAACTGCACCCTGCTGGGAGTGCATAGCCTGGTGGGGTGCTCAGTGGCGTGGGAACACCCAAGAGATGCCAGGCCAGTGATCACCCCAGTGAAAGGTGGGTAAGGACGCCTTAACCCTAGCCCTCACCTTTGGATGAGTCATGCAGCATCAGAGGTAATGGGCCAGGCATGGCTGAGGCCATCTGAGCCCTATGTGGTGTAGGACCCTGAGGAAAGGTAGTTGGGACCAGGCACAGCTATGGTCACCTGAGCCCATCAGGGAGGGAAGCCCCGTGGCCCCAAGTGAAGGGGGTGGTGTGGAGCCCCGAGTGAAGGAAGTAGGCGTAGGTATGTCTCTGGATGCCTAAGGCTGTAGCTTGGGCCAGAGGCTGAGTAAGGGGGCTCAGTCTGAGAGGTAGGGGTGAGTCCTGACCCCGGTAAGTCCTCCACCACTGGGAGGCCGAGTGTGGGTCGAAAGCAAGATTTATAGTGGAGCACAATGACATGCTGCTCCAAGGGAGGAGTGTGAGACCCCGGAGCACCAGTTGTGCTTTGGGATAAGAATGCCCCGGTGAGGGGTGGCCCTAGAGAGGGGGCAAAGAGGAGGGACCCCAATGGGGGAGAAGAACCAGAGGGCTGAGAGCCCAGAGTGTGTATAGAGTTGCCCTGGAAGGGGCCAGGGCAAGCTTGGACCCGGTCGGGTAATTGGCTGGCTACTACCCTGGGGAGGGTCGCGGGAGAGGCCCAAAAGATGGAATGTCTGCCACCTAAGGTACGAACTAGCTAAGCCTATGGCCTAAGGGGCCCCCTGCAAGAGGGGCAAGATAGCATAAGTTGTCGATGTGAGAAAGAGACTTTGTGAGAGTGGGTGGAGTGTGTGTGGCCCAGGTGAGAGGAGGGCGGTATAAATGTGAGTGTTGGAGGCCTGACAACAAGGCCTAAGCTTGGTCTGGCTATAGGCTGGGAGCACTCTGTCATCTGGATGCCATCTGCAAGGCTTGGGCTTTGGTGTAGGGGGGGGAACGGAGCTGCAGATAGTGCCCCCTGGCATCGGGGCAAGAATGGGCAGCCTCCCGCCTTAATTTAACAACTTAATTAATTACCCACAAGGCGTGGCGGGCGAGACAGGCGGGCAGCGTGCCCAAAGGCTAGTGGGGAAACTAGTACTGTGGCTAGTAAGGAAGCCCACTTTGCCACATCTGGGTATACTTAACAATACAACACCCTCTTAATTCTACATTGTAATGTCGATAATGAATGCATTCAAGTTTCCTAATGATTCCACTGTAGAACTTGGACCTATACCTCCTGGACCAACTGTCAAAAGGTTTCTCAATAATACAAGTTGATATATTTTAAAAGTGTCAGTATATAGGATGATGATAATGATACTTTTAATATCATTTAACCTTTATATCTTACTTAAAATGTAACGGTACCCTCTGTTTGCATATTGGCCATAATAGTACCTGTTTTTGTAGACAAATTGCAGAAGCTGAAGTCTGCCTAAATGACTACTTATACTATGAAGCATTTTTAATGAAATTGTCTCCAAAAGAATGGCAAGATGAGCAAAAAGCAAAAAAGAAGAAAGCAAGAGCAGAAAAATTACATAAACCACAGTGTATGCTTTTCCTTTTTAAGCATGTGTCTGAAAATGTTAGATATAATCTATATAAAAGTGCATAACCAAATCAGGAAATTTAAAGATTAAGGGGCCAGATACTAATTTGTTTGACACTGATTGTTGCCAACAGTTGCGAGATTTGTGGTAAAAATCATGAGATTTGTATTTCTTTAAGCCCCAGCTGCTTGTAATAATAGACAGAATGAGACTCTTCTCTTTCATTTTTTAAATGCAAGAAAAATGATAGAGAAGCTTAAACAAAGTGAAGAAAGTGCACTATAAAAGCTCAGAACCCAGAAGGTAAATAAAAAGAACCTCACACTTATTATTTTTAACTCTTGTGATCCTGGGAGGCCTGACAGGATTTTTGAATGTGTGGGGTTGATAGTTCTGGGAAAGTAATATGGCAGACAAAACCCTCCCAGTGTTGGGTTATGGCTAGGGGATGTTCCAAACTTGAGGCAGTGGCCAGCTGATTTTTACAGGCAAATTGCGGAGCCAGCAGCCATTTTTGCAGGTGGAGCATGGTGGGCCCCCCCACGCCTCTGATTGTCCAAGGGGCCCTTGGTGGCCTCACCCTTTGCCACTGATTGGCTGGAAGAACTGTCCATCATATGGCCCTGCCCCTCACCACTGGTTGGCTGTGAGGGTTGTCCATCATGCAGCCCTGCCCCTTGCTGCTGATTGGTGGCAGGGGGCAGGGCTGTATGACACACTGCCCCTGCAGCCACTCAGCTCTGAGGGGTGGAAGCAGCAGCTATCTTGCCATGCCAGAGGCCACAGCATTTTATTTTCAGGATTTTTTTTTTTCAGATAGTCCCCCTAAAAGCACAGAGCCCACACTTCTTCTCAGAGCCTGCAGTTTTTCATGAAGTCTGCTCAAAATCATGATTTCTGTGAAAATCGTGAAATCACAAGTTTGGTAGATCCCTAGTTATAGCCTTTGGAAACTTGCTGTTTAATGTAACTCTACAGACATAACCCATATCTTTTTTTCAAGAAGCCTTCACTGCCAGCCTCATTTAGATCTTGTCTACATTCCATGTTTCACCTAGTTAATTAAAAGTGTATTTTAAAGTGATTTAGGTATACCAGTGGACACTCCTGTATGGACAGTGAAAGCGATGTAAGCCTGGACTACGTTGACTTTGGTTTAATCTTAGTAATGAACCATTTGAAGACAAATTCATATACACAAGATTTAAATCACTGGCCAAAATCAAACTAACAAGTGGTTTTAGCTCATACACCCTATCCAAGCTTCTTGTACAGAGAAGGCTTACAGGTTAAAGACCATTTCCCTTACTTTTATTCATGTTTCCCTGCAGTACTTGGAAGAGCTTTTGTTGCTTAGCCATGTCTCAGAAAAAAATTCCTTTTAAGTCATTCTGTATTGAAATTCCATTCATATTTTGCACTTCTCTTGCCGTAAATCAGGCCAGGGACTTCACTTTTGTTGCCCATCAGGACTTGTTTCTTTTGGGAAGAAGTTATAGCTCTGTTTATCCTTTGAGCCAGATTGTGTACATCAAGCCATAAAAATAAACACAATGTATGGGATATAACCAGAAAGAAGCAGCGGCAAGTGAGAATGGTCATCAGGAAAGAAGCTTTATTGATATTAAAGATATGAAGTCTTTGCAGCAGGAAGAGGAGTCCTCGCCTCTTAGGGTGAAACTTGGACTGTGTTGGCACATACAATACCTTCTGTGCTAATTAATGCCTGTGGTAGCATGTGCAACTGTGTGTTGGAAGCAAGGTGCAGGGAGCATAGATGAAGTCACCAGAGAGATGAATGGAGATGTGCTCTGTTCTCAGTTTTAGATAACCTGACATAGATTACAGACTGACCATTGAGTAGTCCACAGAACCAAGAGGCCCACAAGGCTAGTGACAGGCCACCAAAAATTGTGCTGTGTAGCGGTGGGAGGTGGCTACCAAAAGTTGTGCAGTGTGGCCAGAGGAGGTGGCCTGCAACAGAATCCAGAGCCCTTGAGCCCTGGTGGACATGGACATACATGGCAGGAGGGCGAGTGAGGGCTGACACAGCCTCAGTTGCCCTCCAGCCTCATTGCTCATTGCCACTGCTACGGCCTTACCTCCTCAGGCACTGGCCCCATCACAGTGCGCCCTATGTCAATGGCAACTGTGTCATGGGGCATATGAGAACTGGAGCAGTGCCATGTGCCCCATGCCAGAGTGGGTGCTGCCACCAGTTCTGTATTCTCTTATGAAAAAAAAGATGTTTTTTACATTTATCTGATAGATACATATTGAATAAATATACTGGGGAAAATACACCTCCTTAATGTAATTTTATCAACTACACACTTCTTACAAGGCTCAGGATAAGAATATATCATTTACTGTATTAAAAGATATAGGTGGATAATATTATGTTAGTTTGCCTGCAGATTAACATGGAAACATATTCTTTTATCTTTTCATTACTTGAAGGTGGGCAAATGCCTTCAAAGAAGCTGTCAGGATCCGATTTGGCAATACATGAATTCCAATCAATAATGACTAATAAGAAAATGTCATCACCCAGGTACAGTATCACATCAAATTGGCTTCCTCCATTCTCGGTTTGCCTTCTTCATTTGCCAGTGTACAATAGAAATAAAACAGATCCAGTAAGCAAGCAAATTATACCAGTTATCTACATACTGCAGCAAAGGAGACTGTTGATATTTTCTTCCAACTCTTCCCTCCCCCCACAGAGGTTTTCTAGAAGTACCAAAGGCCAAAGCTGAAAAGTGTTTTGTGGGTTCTTTCTGTCTCTTGCTTGTTAACACTTTCTGTGATGAGAAATGTCTGTTTTCTCTTATCCTTTCTGCCTTTTTTTTTTTTTTTTTTTTTTT